TCTAATATTTCCCCGGCTACGCGCGATGACGACCGATGATGGAAAAGTGTTTTTTTTTTTTTTTTTTTATGTTGTTCTGTTGTGGTCGTTGCGCGTGCGTGTGTCCGGCCCGCGACGAGTCCCTCGCGATGCCGTTAACAGCGGGCTCCGCCGTAATGTAATAATAATTCGCGTGTTTACAAATGTAGAAAAAAAATCAAAAAAAAAAAAAAAATCAAAATCGCTACCACGCACGTATCGTAATGGCACCGCGGGTCCGTGGTCGCGGGCCCGGGGCGTTTCGCCGCGCGCGCCGATCGGATTTTAATGGGATCCGTTTTGTATTGTTATTAATGTTTCGAACCGCGAGCACGGCCGCGGTAACAACCGAGTGACCGCGGCCGCGCGTCGTACATCACCGGCGTTTAAAATATAACGCGCGAGAGACCGCGCGCCGGACATTATCGCGCGGACGTTAAACTGGTTTATTTCTTCGTATTTTTGTAATTTACCAGAAACAACCGTATGATATAATGTACAACAAATAACATTATGATTTCCGAACGATAATTTTAAACGGTTTGTGCGCACATCGCGCTCTCTGTATTATAATACCGTGCGTCTACAACGTAAGCATAAAAATATAATAAATAAATTATAATATTAAATTGGTTAAAACCGCTAACGAGCGGCGTGTACCTGCAGCGTAACGTAATACAATATTAATATCGTTATGAGCAACATCACAAAACGTATCCACCCGTAATTGTATAATAACGAGCAATGTACAGTAAAAACTTCGTTAACACGCTCCCGCTTAATACGCCATTTTTTTTTTCCGGTTTCGGCAACCTGAAGTTGTTTTAACACCGACAAAAAAAAAAGAAAAAAGCACGCTTAAGAGGACGCCATACCCGCCATGCGCCGTCTCGGTCCAACTATAATCGGCAATAATATAGCGAAATTCACCGTACTACGCACACTGCGTAGAACTCGATTAGTTTTGGTTTTCTCGAGTTAAAGCACCGATTATAAAAATTAAAAGAAAACATTATTCTGAAGGACCGGACGTAAAAACGCATCGTCGTGTTTTCCGAAATACTGTCACTTTTGTTAATTTTACAATGGGTTATTTTGATCCAAAATCAAAATCAAGCGAGTTCTACGCAGTCAGCGTAGGGTACATTTTACTATACCGCCCGGAAGTCGCGCTTGGACGGCACAACCTAACCTTCCGCTCAATACATAATCCCGCAAAATACGCTGTCTACGTTGCCTATTGTGTTCATAGGAATACGCGCTATTGATTGAATGACTGTTTCACAATCAATAACATGGGACGTACCGTGTTATTAGCCGTGTCCGAGAGTTGAAGCGGTGCACGCGCAGACGTGACACGTAGATTTTTAATGTTTGTTTCGTATAATTCGCGTACAGTTCTGGTGCGTAAAATGACAAGTGCGTCTACGTCATCCAGTGCGTGGTGTAGGAGTAAAAAGGAAAGCGTTGTCTGTTGACGACAAATTGAACGTTATTGGACAGTACAATGAAAAATATGTTGAATAAACAATAAATTGCCGATGAATTCGGATTGTGCACACATTGATGAAATATGTGTATTTGATGTTTTTTTTTATTAACATGTTTTAAAAAATAAATAACACGTTACACTATAAACTTTTTTTCTAATTTATTCGGTCCAGTGTCCCGTTTAAAACGCTTCAAGAGCGTAATAGGCGCAATCCCACATAGTACGCGGTTTCTTCACGATTTCCCCTTCCAGAGGGGGTCTTAACGTGGTTTCACTATATATGCAGTAAAACTTCCGTACAACGGTCACCGGAAATAACGACGCTATTTAGAAGTGACCGTCCCTCGGTGGTTTCCTGTAGAGGCATAACACTTGACGGGACTAATAAAAATTACCGTTACACAGAGGCGACCGTTAACGGAATTTGAACTGAATATTACCGTTCGTCATGGGAAAATAAAACACTAGCGTACTTACGGCTAGAATTGAAACGGTGCAAGATTTACGCGTCATATTACTGCACTATAACTACAGATGCATTGCCAAGAGAAAAATATTATATAGTCTGGAAAAACAGCTTGTCGGTTGTAAAACGTTATTGAAGATCGCTAACTGTAATAATATCGTCTTCTTCTACTTAAGCTACGCTATAAAAAATCCAGTTAACTTTGCTGCCTCCTAATACTGCAACCCATCTAAGTATATTCTTTTCTATATGGCCGCTGTATTCGATCCTTGTATAATGTGTTATTGCGTGAATGCCATAGAGCCCTGCATAGACCCGGGTTGGCAAGCCAACCCGTCCCGAGTTTCGGCCCGATATAAAGCCGGATTGGGATAGATCGGACCTAACCACCGTGGACCGGATCACATAGGGTTCGTTAAATAATTTGGATCAAATCGAATTCGGACCACCTCTCGAACTTTGCACAGCCCGACCCGAACCGAGTTATGACCCGATCCTGACACAATCGTTCTCGTCCGGATAATAGTGCTAACCTAACCTAACCTAACCTAACCTTTTCGTATTGAATTGAATTGGGTCGGACCAAATTTTCGGATTTTCGTGCCGTGTTGTATTGAATCGCGATTACTACGAATGTCTATCGGGTGAATCATAATTCACTTTTGACAGCCCGTAGGGTTTTGTTAAACGCGTCAATACGATAATTGCGTGGCTGAAAAATAACAAATATAAAAATCTGTTACTGCTATGGATGTGTCACTGTTTCAGGAGGGAATTTGAAAGAGAAGATAAATAGACTGATTTTATTTATACCTGCATTCGAGGATAGGTCACTGATAATGAAAAACGGTTCTCAGCAGAGTATTATTGATCGTATTTTTTTCCTTGTTGCCAAGGTAACCCAGAAACCAATAAAAACGAAACATTGCCGGTATTTCATTCCATTCATTAGGAAAACTACAGGCAACTTACTTGTAAATCAAAACAAATTACTTACCTACATAAAAAAAACCCTAAGATAATGTGTTTATAAATATAGACTGTTTCTGCCGATGCACCTCTCGCTTCGCTCAGAATCCATACAAAACAAGACAGTAATATATTGAGCCACGTTCGAAAATAGTGTTTTATGGTAAATATGGAAAAACGTGGGTTTTTTTTTGTAATTTTTGATAAACCAATAAACGTATTACAATATTATGCGACACGAGTAGGGAACGATTTAAAATATACTGTTTCTTTTTTTTTTTTTTTAATAGGTAAAATACGAGGGGGAAAAATTAACAAAAAAAACGAAAATGGTAAATTTATTGTCGGTTTTCAATATAATATACAGGGTGTCCCACGATAATCTGCCACTTGAAATAATTTTTGTTCTATTCAATACTTTTGATATACTTTTATTTTAAATAATTAGTATGTCTTTGCACTAAAATTTATACATGAGCGTTTTTTTATTTTTTTTAGGGGGAGGGAGACTCTTAAAATAACAAATTTAAAACTTTACTATATTTTTTTTTAGACAAATTCAAAACAGTCATTTTGTAAAATATATTTTTAGACAATTTTTGAAGGTTGAAATTTTTGTTTAAGTATGGTTTTTTTTTTTTTTTTTTACGGCTTTTTAAAGTTTTTGCAAGTGTGAATATAACCTATTGCGGTTATTCTGTTACAATATTTAATCAATTATTAGTCAGGGCACATGATAAGGATTTCTTTTTCCATGAGTAAATATCGTGCTATAATATTATCATATTGTATGTATTATAGGTAGTAGGCAAATGGTCATTTATGTTGATGAACAGTGCATACTGATAATTAAAAAAAAATATACATCGTAGTACACCGGGCGTATTGAATAGAACAAAAGTTATTTCAAGTGGCACATCGCCGTGGGACACCCCGTATACATTGTACGGCCGGTACAATGCCCGTACGCGCGTCTCGTGACAACGCGGTCGCCTTAATTCCGAGCGCGCGCGTAGTTTTGCGTGCCGCGGCGCAACCTACACCGAACGCGCACCGCACCGGTGTACCGTGCGTGGTGCGGTCGTCGTCGCCCGTGCAGGACGATAAACCCATCAGAAGCGACGGCGTCCCGCGCGGCCTTTTCCGGTAGCCTTGCGCGGTTGTCGCGCGAAAAACA